TGCTGACCAACTTTATGGGGATGCAGACTTCACCTTTCAACAGGACTTGGCACCTGCACACAGTGCCAAAACCACCAGCACCTGGTTCAAGGACCATGGTATCCCTGTCCTTGATTGGCCAGCAAACTCGCCTGACCTTAACCCCATAGAAAATCTATGGGGTATTGTGAAGCGGAGGATGCAATACGCTAGACCCAACAATGCAGAGGAGCTGAAGACGACTATCAGAGCAACCTGGGCTCTCATAACACCTGAGCAGTGCCACAGACTGATCGAGTCCATGCCACGCCGCATTACTGCAGTTATTGAGGCAAAAGGAGCCCCGACTAAGTATTGAGTGCTATACATGCACATTCTTTTCATGTTCATTCTTTTCAGTTGGCCAACATTAGAGGAACAAACATTTTTTCATTGGCCTTTAGAATATTCTAATTTTCTGAGATACCAGATTTGATGTTTTCATTGGTTGTCACCTATAAATATCAAAATTAAACGTAATAAACATCGGAAATACATTGGTCTGTGTGCATTGCATGAATATAATGTACAAGTTTCACGTTTTGAATGGAATTACTGAAATATTTTCAACCTTTTGATGATATTCTAATTTACTGGCCAGCACCTGTATTATGGACATCAGAACACCCTACCATACACAAAATATCAGTAATCAGAACATTATATCACTGAGCAAACATAATAACAGAAGAGAGAGACCGTAAACAAGAGGACAAACACATACAGCATACTTTAAAGACCTGCGGATACCCGACATGGGCAATAAACAAAGGAAAACAACAAACAGCAACAGAAAAAAAAACAACCAAAGCAAAGAACCAGATCCCCAGAAAGACAAGAACCAAAACCAGTGATAACCCTACCATACATCAAAGGCATGACAGAAAATATAAGAGCAACAATGAAAAAAACACACCATAAACACACCAACAAAACCATACACAACAGTTAGAAACAGACTGGTACACCCAAAAGACAAAATATCAGCTGGACTTAAATGTGGAGTCATTTACAAAATCCCACGCAAACTCTGCTATAAAACATACATAGGAGAAACCGGACGCCAACTAAATACACGGACAATAGAACACAGAAAGGAGTGCGAGAAAGAAACAAGTCGAAAACACACAAGAGCAGCAAAACAAGATGCAGAAAGCACAATAAAGAAGTCAGCCGTAACAGATCACTGCACAAGAGAAAACCATATAATGGACTGGGACAACACAAGGATCATAAACACCGAACAACAGAAATACAAAAGATGGATAAAAGAAGCTATCGAGATAAGGAGACGTGGATGTAGGACCATGAACAGAGACGATGAAGTTTACTTGTTGGATCGCACATGGGACTGCATCATCGGAGAGGGGAGAGCGGGCAGCAGAGGGCAACAACGTCCTTTGCTGCACGTCCTTTGCTGCCCGCGGATAAACGAAGGAAGTGACGCCACCATCAGCGTCAGCCTGATGATGTTTGCAGCCTCAAACGAAACATTGCAGGTAAATAAACCTTTTCTGTGTTTTTAAAAGAACTGTAAGATGGAATTTGAAACTCAACATAGCAAGAACACACCAAAGATGTTCTGGAGCAATGTTTGGGGAAAAAGAGAAAAACCACAATGAGGCAGCACAGTGGATCAAAAAAGAATCAATCAGTCAATCAATCAGCCTTTATTTATAAAGCACCTTACAGGCATGAGCATGCCACCAATGTGCTGTACAACAAAAGAATAAAACAATAAAACATATAGCACCACAGACATAATTAAAACCACAATTAAGAATTACAAAATATAAAATATTATCAATTGCTATCCCACAGAATTAAAAGCCAGATCGTAAAAGTAGGTTTTCAGTCTCATTTTAAAAACCGCAACCGATGGAGAGCCCCTAATGGTTAGGGGCAGTGCGTTCCACAGTTTCGAACCCGCAACAGAGAAGCAGAAAGATTGAAGAGCCAACCAGTACAGGAGTGGACAAACATCAGCAAGACAGAAGTAATACTGGCACTAAAGAAAGCAAATATTTGGAAGTCACCTGGAGAAGACAAAGTACATAACTTTTGGCTTAAACATCTCAAAGTCATACATGAAGATCTTGCAAGAGAATACACAGAAATCATTAAAACACCAATAAAGAGCCCAACCTGGCTAACACAGGGTCTAACATATCTGCTACCCAAGACCAATGACACAAAAAAACCCTAAGAACTACAGACCAATCACATGCTTACCAACGATGTACAATATCCTCACAAGTATCATCACAGAGAGAACATACACCTTCCTCGACAACAACAGCATGCTACCACCAGAACAAAAAGGCTGTAAGAGAGGTAGTTATGGAAGCAAAGACCAACTCCTGATCAACAAGATGATACTGGAAGACAGCAAGGGGAAGAAGAAAAACCTGAGTACAGAATGGATAGACTACAGGAAAGCCTTCGACAGTGTACCACACTCATGGATCATCAAAGTAATGGAACTTCATAGAATCTCACCAACTCTCATCACCTTCATGAAGACAAGTATAGAATCATGGAGGACCACTTTGATGCTCACTTATGAGGAAGGATCCATCAAGACAAGACCAATAAAAGTGAGGTGTGGTATCTTTCAAGGAGACTCACTGTCACCTCTCCTTTTCTGTCTATGTCTAGCCCCACTCAGCACCATGCTAAACAACAGTGAACATGGATATGAGGTTCAAGGTAAGAAGATCAACCACCTTTTTTACATGGATGACCTGAAGACCTATGCCAAAAAATGATAACCAACAAGAGGGACTACTGCAAATAGTCAAGCTCTTCAGTGATGACATCTGCATGCAATTTGGACTTAACAAATGTGCAAAGGCTACATTCAAAAAGGGAAAACTCACATCAACATCAAACATACAATTGGACCAAGAGACTGTCATAATGGAGCTCAGTCAAGAGGATACATACAAATATCTTGGGGTCAATGAAGGAGTTGGAATACAACATGCCACCATGAAAGAAAGTCAAAAGAATACTACAGAAGAGTCAGGCTTGTCATCAAGAGTGAACTTAATGCTGCAAAAAAGATCAAAGACATCAACATTTTAGCTGTTCCAACGGTTACATACAGTTTTAATATCATCAACTAGCAACTTAAAGAAGTAAAGAAACTAGACACCAAGACCAGAAAATTGCTGACTTCTGAAAGAATGCACCACCCAAAAGCGGATGTAGAAAGATTGTATCTACCAAGACAGATTGGAGGCAGAGGACTTACCCAACTTGAGATGGCTAACAAAACAACGACAATGGCATTGAAAACCTACCTTGAAACAACAGATGATGCCCTATTGATCCTCTTTTGTCAACATGAAGCTCGAAAGAAGCTGTACTCTGTTACAAAAGAAGCTATAAGATATGCACAGGAACTAAGCACCCCAGATGTGGCAAGAAAAGAGAACAAAACAGTAACAAGCTTTGCCAAGAGGACCAAATGGGAGGCAAAGAAATGGGCCCAAAAGAGGATGAGAGAAACATGGGAGGAAAAACCAATGCATGGACAATACCCCTTGAGAGTAAAAAAAAAAGCAGACGTAGAGCAAGATCATACTCATCAGTGGCTACGCAGAGCAGGACTGAAGGCAGAAACTGAAGGATTGGTGATAGCAGCACAAGACCAGAGCCTGTCAGCGAGATCATAACACCACAATTCAATTCAATTCAAGTTTATTTATATAGCGCCAAATCACGACAAGAGTCGTCTCAAGGCACTTCACATAATAAACATTCCAATTCAGGTCAGTTCATTAAGCCAATCAGAAAAAAATGTTTCCTATATAAGGAATGCAGCACATTGCATCAAGTCGACTATACAGCAATCCTCATACTAAGCAAGCATATAGCGACAGTGGAGAGGAAAACTCCCTTTTAACAGGAAGAAACCTCCAGAAGATCCTGGCTCAGTATAAGCAGCCATTCTCCACGACTCACTGGGGATCGAGAAGACAGAGCACACACACACACACACACACACACACACACACACACACACACACACACACACACACACACACACACACACACACACACACACACACACACACACACACACACACACACACACACACACACACGCACGCACGCACGCACGCACGCACGCACACACGCACACACACACACACACACACCAAGCAATGTGTCTATGGTTGCATTGTGATTGTTTAGTAAATATTCTATTTAGCGAGAGATAAACTTTCAAGATCATGAAAGATGGAACAGACCCCATGTGTAGAATGTGCAGCCAATATGAAGAAACCATTGACCACATTCTCTCAGGCTGCCCCACGCTAGTCAGAACTGAGTACATCCACAGACATGACAGGGCAGCAAGCTATATCCACTGGAAGATCTGCAAGCATTTCCATCTACCAGCTGCAGATAAGTGGAATGAACACCAACCACCAACAGTGACTGAAAACAACAACATCACAGTGTTGTGGGTCATACCAATCAACACAGACAGAGAAATCATGGCTAACAGACCAGACATAATCATCAAAAACAAAGAAGAGAAGACCTGCCTCATGATTGACATGACCATCCCATCTGAAAAAAATGTCACCTCCAAGGAGCTTGAAAAGCTATCAAAGTACACAGACCTGGAAATAGAAGTCACAAGAATGTGGGGGATGAAGACAACAACAATACCCGTCATAGTGGGCGCACTTGGCCTCATCAAGAAGGGACTGGAAAAGATAACAAAACAGATTCCTGGAAACCCAACAGTCCAAGAAATCCAGAAGATTGTTCTTCTCGGAAGTGCCCACATCATCAGAAGGACGCTTTCCATAAACCAACCCTGAAACTGCCTTAGAAGCATGGATTGATTCTGGCACTTCAGTGAAAGCATACAAATATACAAAAAAACATAATAATAATAATAATAATAATAATAATAATAATAATAATAATAATGATAATAATAATAATAATAATAATCAGACCTCTCTGGGAATGTGAAACTTGTCCACCACTTTCAGATCATAGTACATCTTGATGCCACATTTGACAAGGTCCAGCTCACTGTGGTCAAAGTCACAGAAGTGAAACTCTGAGATTTCAGCCTTCTTCGAGTTTGGAAGGACCTCTGACTGCAATGAAGATCAAACAGAAAAATACATTTTTCATAGAAACTTTTAGTTATTATTATTTTTTTTTAATATTTACAATTAGTCAATGTATCAAAGGGAACAATTTAAGTCACAGTTTATTTTAAGTAATCAATGTAATTTGAGTCGTTTCATCACTTCTTATTGTGACGTTTTTTTAGATGCGGACAGAATTAAGTTGCATTGAAAATCACTCATTCTCCTGTTTATTTACCAGAATCTCTTGAAGTTCCTCCTCCTCACACTCATCTGGTTCCTTTCCCCATCTCTCTCTGGTGTCCTGGAGAAACATGCATCACAAACACACTCACCTTGGATGAAGCAGAACAGCATCAATCAGCTGACTCCTGATCTAAGGTCAAACAAAGTGATGTCTTTCAGGTTTTGTTCTCTCTCTGTCCTCTGACAAATCACCTCATAGAAACCCTGACAGCTTATTTCAGCTTATTGATGAAGTTCACTGATTTTTATATCAACTGCATCAAACAGCTGCTTCCAGGCTAACTTGGTTTGTTCTGTATAGATCAAGATTTTAATCTTGAATTATTTCCTAACCTGTGAAGCATTGTGATGCATCAGACATATTTTTAAAAAGGAAGAAAGGAAGAGAACAATCTCTTTTTTAGCACCTCTCAATGTAAAAATCACGAGGCACTTTACAAGTAACAAACTGATGTTTTCAGCTTCTTTTTAAAGGAGACCTCTGAGTCCACTGATCTCAGGCTCTGGGGGAGAGAGCTCCAGAGTCTGGGGGCCACAGCAGCAAATTATCTGTTACCTTTGGTCTTTAGCCTGGTCTGCTGCACAACCAGTAGGCTTTGATCACTGGACCTCAGGGACCTGCTGGGGGTGTAGGGACTGAGAAGATCACCAATGTAAGATGGTGCTCGTCCATGTAAGGCCCTATAGACCAGAACCAAGATCTTGAAATGAACCCTGAAGTTGACTGGCAGCCAGTGAAGCTGGAGGAGAAGCGGAGTGATGTGGGTGTGTTTGGAGGACTTGGTCAGAAGCCGAGCACAGGCATTCTGAACCACCTGTAGACGGTTCAGGAAAGTTTTACTCAGACATGTGAAAAGAGAGTTACAGTAGTCTAAGCGTGAGGAGATGAAGGTGTGGATAACTGTCTGAAGTTCAGAGTGGGACAGAATGGGACTCAGCTTAGCAATGAAGGAGTTTGGTGAGGCCATGGAGAAAGACTATCGATCAGCTCCAAAGAGGTTCTGGCAAACTGTCCGGCGCCTCAGGAAAGGAAGGCAGCAACTCGCTCACACTGTTTACATTGGGGATGGGGAGCTGCTGACGTCAACTGGGGCTATAGTCGGACTGTGGAAGGACTACATTGAGGAGCTCCTCAATCCCACCTACGCATATTCCGAGGAGGAGCCAGAGCCGGGAGACCTGGGGATGGACTGTCCAATCTCTGTCTCAAGTTCAGAGCAGGACAGAATGGGACCCAGCTTAGCAATGTTCCTGAGATGGAAGAAGGAAGAGTGAACAAGAGAAATGACATGAGAATCCATGATGAGATCGTGGTCAAAGGTCACACCAAGATTCCTGACAGAAGGTTTGGTGTGAGAAGCAAGCTGACCAAGAGAGTCTCTGACTCTGGGAACCAGCTTGTCTGGAGCACAGATGAGGATCTCAGTCTTATCTTCATTCAGCTGTAGAAAGCTCCCAGCCATCCAGGTTTTGATAGAGTCTAAGCAGGTGTGTAACAGCTGCAGCTTAGACATCTCATGGGGCTTAAAGGAGATGTACAGTTGGATGTCATCTGCATAAAGATGGTAGGAGATTCCTTTAAAAGAGCTCAGGATGTGCTGAAGAGGAAGCAGATAGAGGAGGAAGAGTAGAGGCCCCCAGCAAAGAACCTTGTGGGACACCATGGGCGAGGGACGTGGTGGAGATGGCCACAGAGAAGGAACGCTTAGACAGATAAGAGGAGAACCCCTCTAGAGCAGTTTCTGGTAGGCCTACTCAGTCTCTATACATTCAACATCACATTTTCGTAAAACTAAAAATGTTTCGGTTTTAAAGTATTTACCTAATTGTAGTCTTCTGTGTGGTAGAATGTAACCAAGTTTCTCTAACTTCTTCTCTGTGTTTAGCAATATATCACTGTCAAAGACATGTCTCCCCAGACTCTACCCTTTCCCCACTGCTCCATAACAAATGTGTTTAGCATCCATCAACTTCATGGCTGCATTTCGTCAAAAAACACGAGACATGCTCCATTTTAGGGGTTGATGAGTTTAAAACACAAGAGACAAAAAAAAATCCCTTGATGATGTTTTCAGAATTTAGATAGCTGCATTAAAACATCCATTAGGCTTTTGTAAATGTTTTAAAACTTATATCTGATTTGACAAAAACTGTGTAACTGCCAGACTTTATTTTCACATATACTGACCAGAATGTTCTGGATTTCATCCTTGCGACACTTGACGTGGTACATAACCATGTCCTGGAAGATGTCCTTCCTGTTCTCCAGCTTGTTCATCTTGTCATAAGTGTCGGTGTTCAGCACAGACCAGCCCAGGAACTGGGTCAAAGACTGGACATGGGTGTGAGAGAAAGAAATTGAGGTTAGAAGTGGTGAGTCAGTAAATATCATGCAGTAAAGACAAAGTCTACACAGATCCTCTGACAGGTAAAATTAGGGTCTATAACACCTGACCAATATTGGTTTTTCTATTACCAATTCCAATACGTAGAGGCCACTTTAAGCTGATGGACCATATCTTCTGCCAGTTTTTGGGCTGATTTCTTATGTTCCATATCAAAATGTTTTCCACCTTATGCTAAAAGGTCACTGATAACATCTGTTGATGCACAAAATTAAAAAGAATCTTTAAGAGCATTTGTTATGCAGATGTGTATCAGGAGCATAAACATTTAAATAAAATTCTGCAGCATCAACATTTAAATAAAATTCTGCAGCATCAGCAAGCTGCCCAGAGATCTGCCTGGCTTTAGATCAGCTTTATTAAGGAGGTACATTGGCCGACCGATATATTTAACTACCCCTACCTACAAGTGCATAAAACATTTTTGATCAAATAAAATGACAAATGACCTGAACTGGTAAAGCATCTTTCTTAGTCAGAGAACTCCTAAGCGCTTTACACTACCGTGAATCATTTATCCCTGCATTCACACACTGATGGTGATGAGCTACAATGTAGTCACTGCTGCCCAGTTATGGGGCAGACACTTAACTCCTCTGCCATCGTTATTATTATTGTGTCAATGAAATCAATGGAAAACATTCAAACACTTCATGCATAATTTAAATTAAAATTATTCTCTAAGGTAGCCTAGAAATGTAGACAGCGAAAGCTGAAGATCACGTTCTGATGAAGCCAACAGGACCACATCATCTGCAAAAAGCAGAGACCTGATTCTCAGGCCACCAAAACAGATGCCCCCCACACCTTAGCTGTGCCTAGAAATCCTGTCCATAAAGGTTATGAACAGAATCGGTGACAAAGGGCAGCCTTGGTGGAGTCCAACTCCCACTGAGAAGGAGCCCGACTTACTGCCGGCAATGCGGACGAAACTCTGACACCGGTCATACAGGCACCTAACAGCCCATATCAGGGGGCACGGTACCCCATACTCCCGGAGTACCCCCCAAGGGATGCGGTCAAACGCCTTCTCCAAATCCACAAAACACATGTAGAGTGGTTGGGCAAATTCCCACGCACCCTCCAGGATCCCCCTAAGGGTATAGAGCTGGTCCAGTGTTCCACGGCCAGGACGAAAACCACATTGCTCCTCCTGAATCTGGGATTCAACAATCCGACGGACCCTCCTCTCCAGAACCCTTGAATAGACCTTACCGGGAAGGCTCAGGAGTGTGATCCCCCTGTAGTTGGAACACACCCTGTGGTCCCCCTTTTTAAATAAGGAGACCATCACCTTGGTCTGCCAGTCCAGTGGGACTGCCCCCGATGTCCACGCGATATTGCAGAGCCACGTCAGCCAACACAGCCCCACAACATCCAGAGCCTTAAGGAACTCCGGGCAGATCTCATCCACCCCTGGAGCCTTGCCACAGAGGAGCTTTTTAACCACCTCAGTGACCTCAGCACCAGAGATTTGAGAGGCCAACCCAAAGTCCCCAGACTCTGCTTCCTCACTGGAAGACGTGTCGGTGGGATTGAGGAGGTCTTCGAAGTATTCTGCCCACCGATCCACAACGTCCTGAGTAGAGGTCAGCAGCACACCGTCCCCACTATAGATAGTTTTGGTAGCGCACTGCTCCCCTGCCCACCCCCCCACCCCAGTCGGCCACCTCAACAATGGAGGCACGGAACAGGGTCCATTCAGACTCAATGTCCCCCACCTCCCCCGGAACATTTTGGAAGTTCTGTCGGAGGTGGAAATTGAAGCTCCTTCTGACAGGAGACTGCCAGATGTTCCCAGCAGACCCTCATGATACGTTTGGGCCGGCCTGGTCTGACCGGCATCCTCCCTCACCATCTGAGCCAACTCACCACCAGGTAGTGGTTGGTTAACAGCTCCGCCCCTCTCTTCACCTGAGTGTTGAAGACATGCGGCCGCAGGTCAGATGAAACAACAACAAAGTCGATCATTGAGCTGCGGCCTAAGGTAACCTGGTGCCAAGAGCGCATATGGACACCTTTATGTCTGAACATGGTGTTCATTATGGATAATCCATGACTGGTACAGAAGTCCAATGACAAAACACCACTCAAATTCAGATCAGGGGGGCCGTTCCTCCCAACCACACCTCTCCAGGTCCCACTGTCATTGCCCAGGTGAGGGTTAAAGTCCCCCAGCAGAATGAGGGAGTCACAGGAAGAAGCGCTCTCTAGCAACCCCCCCCCCCCCCCCCCCCAAAGTCTACAAAAAGGGTCAGTAGTCTGAACTGTAGTTTAGTGTGTAAGCACAGGCCACAGTCAGAACCCATCCCCCCACATGTAGGCAGAGGGAGGCTCCCCTCTCATTCACTGGGGTAAACCCCAACGTACAGGCACCAAGATGGGGGCGACTGGTATGCCCACCCCTGCTCAGCACCTCTCAGTGGGAGCTACTCCAGAGTGGTAGAAAGTCCACCCCCTCTCAAGGAAACTGGTTCCAGAGCCAGATCCATGCGTTGAGGTGAGTCCAACTATATCTAGTTGGAATCTCTCAACCTCACACACCAACTCAGGCTCCTTCCCCACCAGAGAGGTGACATTCAATGTGCCAAGAGCCAGCTTCTGTAGCCGAGGATCAGACCGCCAACGTCCCCGCCCTCAACTACAACCCGTCACACACTGCACCCGACCCCTTTGGCCCCTCCCACGAGTGGTGAGCCCATGGGAAGGGGGACCCACGTTTCCTCTTCGGGCTGTGCCTCCATGGGTGAAAGCCCAGCCACCAGGTGCTCGCCATCGTGCCCCACCTCCAGGCCTGGCTCCAGAGGGGGGCCCCGGTGACCCACGTCCGGGCGAGGGAACACAGTTTCCATTTATAAAATTCATCATAAGAGGTCTTCGGGCTGCTCTTTGTCTGATCCGTCACCTGACATGAAATGCTTCATATTAAAGGCTTGTTTTGCTTTAAAAGCACCACTGAGAGTTAAACCGGCAGGTTTTCTGTTGGACTGATTTCAGCTCAGCAGACAGAGATAAAAAAAAAAAGCCTTCAGGTCCAGAGATAAATAATGTAGAGGCCCTGAATGGCCTGTAGTGTATTTATAAACCTGTGACTCAGTGTAGCACACAGACACCCCACCAACACCACCGCCACACACAGACACACACTCAGAGCATGCACCTCCATTAGTGTTTCATCCATTTCATCAAAGGGTTTCCCGTCCTTCCTGTTATAGAAAGTGGCCACACCCACGATCTCTTCTTTCTTGTTGACAATTGGCATAGACAGGACGTTCTTAATGGTCCAGCCAGACTCATCCAGCGGTTCTGTCTGCAGATAAAGAGCCACACAGACACACAACACACGACTTATTCTAGCCAACAGGCCGGATCTGTGCTTTAATTTTAGAATGAGGCATTTTTAATGAGATATCAGCATTGTTCATATCAATATTGTCATAGATAAACACAGTAACAGCATCCACATGTGAATGTCACCATAAAGTGAAAATGTTCTCCAGAGGAAAAAAATATCTATAGGGCATATTGCACTTTATGAATTTCTACTAATACTAATACTAGAAAGACTAACTTCAGATTAAAAAAGTATATTGAACCAAAGGGAACAACAAAGTATATTCACACACAAACATGAGACCATCAAAAGAAGAAGCAGGATTTTATCTATTACATGATCTATGAACTTTACATACTGTACTTACATACTTTAAGGTGCATGACACAAGAATGGAGTAAGAATGACATCCGGTGATAAAATTTGGTTACTGCAGTGCTTTCCTAACAAAACAAATAACTTATCCATATCCGTTCATGGCTGTTGCCACTACATGTCATCGCCAGAAGACTATTGACAAGTCCTACAAAGTGGGTTTTAAAGTAGATAAATATATTTCACTGGAAAATGTAATTGTTGGTTATTGATAAAGCAGCTTGAAACAATTTTAGAGCTGATATTTGCTTCTAATTCCTTGCTAGCATACTCAGATGTAGCCTCTAGCCTTCTTTACCTGATATTAGAGTAAAATAAAAGTCTTAGGTTACAAGAATCAACTTCTGGGTCGCTCCTGGCTTCAGTTCTTTAAACAACCCTGGAGCTTTTTGCCAGCCGGTGTTGAAATTAAAAGTGCGTTAGTTCAGCGCAGACTTGGCAACACTGTGGGCTTAGTTTTATCGAATGAGGCAAACTGACAACTGCCCAGCCAGCTGAGAATTAAATCTGTTTCAGTACAACCTTCGTTGCTGCATGGTTGAGACATTACACTGATTTGTAATTATTTCACTGTGAAATTCAAACATATTGTATCTCTAATCCATGGGATTTTTTAATTTAGTACAAAGATTTTTAAAAGAAATTGTGTGCAGATGTAATGGTACTGAAATGAATGAATCAAACAAACAGAATAAAACAAATAAAGAAAATCTCACCTGGAAGTGAAAAAACTCATCTTCAGCTGCATTCATGATGTTGCAAATCTGTTGAAGAGCGAAATGTGAAGCAACACGTTTCGAAAATCCATTGGAAAAACATTTAGATTGTTATGAATTTAAAACAGAAATCTAAAACTAGCAAAAGGTTTTTTTTAGCATTCAGGCTCAAAAAGCTAAAGAAAGAGGATCAAGTACACCTTTGACATTTCCTCACATGTCAAATCCTTTAGCTTTAGCTTTTTAAAATAAAACATGTTCATAGACAAAGTCAAACAGGTAGGATGAAGTTATATGGCCCCACCCAGAATTCATTTAAACCCTCATGTAGCATCAAAAACCGTACGTGTCGATTTAATGTGTCTTTTTTCTCTCGATTTATGAAAATGGGGCTCTGAAGAAAAGTGAAGGCACTCTTTCACATAATGGTAAAAAAGAAAAATTCTCCTGAGGAAACACGACGAAGAGTTGAAAAATGACAAGCAGCAAGGAAAATGAATGAACATGAGGAGGACAGATGGAGAAGGAGAGATAGATAAATGAAACCAGGTTGAGCACTTTGGAAAAAAAACTCTGTGATTGATTGCAAAGGCTGCAGAAATTAAAATTATACATTAGAGCTTGTGAGGCTGAACACTTTTCATCTCTTCAAGAGTGTTCACACTGACAGCTGTGTAATAACACCTAATGGTGTTCTGCTTCTCTGACTTTACTCAACATTTTAAGAAAAAAAAATTGTAAATCAAGTGTCTTTAAAAAATGCTTTGAAGAAATTTGAAAAGACCCCTGCTTGCTATACCCTCACAAAAATACATATGTTATTGTTTTTTAATGAAATGCAATAATTCAACTTCAACACACAAATGTTGCCTGGAATATATTTTATAATCAGATGTTCTGGTTGGCTATTATGGCTGCGTTTAGATTTTATTGATATAACAAAATCTTGATCATGTTGCTGTTTATGCAGACACTTAACTAATCAACTAACTAACTAACTAACTTTCATTGTGTACTATTTAGGGTTTTAGTAATTCTGGTACATTTGTTTTCTGTTTAGGGTAGGGGTCTTTCAGCATTTATACTTTTAGGGTTTATATTGAATCTTTCTTAATGTCCTCCATTTGTATTTTATTTTAGAGCAATTGTTTAAGGACAAAGTAGCCTTTTGGGAAATTGCAGCAAATTTTAACTACATATCTACATTTATTTTAAAATATTTGTTAACTTAGAAGGTAAAAGGGATGAAAACAAATACTGACCAGCCCAGTTTCAGCAACATAGGTGGGTAAACCACTAACCAGAGCCCAGTGGTCGGCTGGTGGATTCCTGCAGGGGAGGAAATATGAATGACCATATTTTTCTATAATGGAAACTGTCAAACAGAATAATTAAATCTACTTTGAGCTTTAAAAGTAGACAAGGCAGCTTTGGATTGATTTTAGCACCCCCTAGTGTCTGTTTGTAAAACTGAAAGCTAAAATTATCTCGTCACTGTGTTTGTCTTTTTAACCCTTTAAGACCCAACACATTAAATAATATTCAAAAGACTGAAATGTATTAAAATTTTAAACATTTGATTGGTAATGATATTATAACAATTATTAACTTTCATAATAAATTTATCAAGCAATTCTATAATAATACAGCAATAATTACACTATATAAAAATGCCACTTGGCACTTAAGTACATGAATAATCCACGAGCAGGCAGAAAACCCTAAAAAAAAGACTGTAGATTGTTTTGGAAAATGCTAATCTTGCTAAAGAGACACAGCTACTACAAATTTAGAAGTGTGTGTATCACATAGGATACAGTGGGCCACCTTAATCTAACAGCTGAAATGCCTCCCCAGCCTTTCTTATTGTCTACAGGAGCAATTTATGACAAATTTAAACAAGTCAGCTGTGTTCATGATCTAAAGCATGCAGGAAACATGCAGGAACCAGATTGCAGTGTCAGGTATGTCAACTCTGAAGTTGCAAATGTCGTATTCTTTGAATTGAAAAAAAAAACAACTCTAATTTCCCTCTGGGATTAATAAAGTATCTTTGAATTGAATTGAATTCTGGCCCGGAGGGCGGTGGGTGTCACGTTTTGTAGGATGGTTAGGACCCAAAATGCAGAACCCAGGATGACACGAGGCAGGAGTAAATGTAAAGAAAAATCCTTTTATTGGTAGGATGATTCCACAAAGAACATAAATCCAAAGGGCAGGAAGCCAAAGTCCAAAAATCCAGGGGATGATCAGGAGATCCAAAAACACTAAAGGAACGAGCAGGACTGACAGAATAAGTCACACTGACAGCAACAATGGACCAACAAGAACAATGACACAAGGAGAGGGCTTTCTACACTGGGGCTGGAGAGATAGGAGACGATGAGCAGGTGTGTGGGGAACTGGCACAGGTGAAAGCAATAATGAGGAGAGGAGCAGAGGAGGACACCAGACGTGACTGGGAAGGGCACACACATACACACACACACACCGAGATGGGGAAGGACACACACACACACACACACACACACACACACACACACACACGGACACACACACACGGACACACACACACACGGACACACACACGCACACACACACACCAAGCTGGGGAAGGACACACACACGCACACCGAGCTGGGGGAGGACTCGCACACACACACACACACACCGAGCTGGGTACAAAAAAGGCTGGAGCTACAAGGATACAGAACGTGAAGGAACACCTGGAGGAGCTGGGGATGACTGAACACAGGACCTGTGAGGAATGATCTAAAGGGCCACAACAGAAGACACACGAAGAACACAAAGAGACATAATGAGACGCAGACAACGGACACATGCGGGCACTATGAGATACAAAAGAAGAACCTGGAGTGGGAACTGGAGGGGCTGGGGGCAAAGGGACACAGAACATGACAGTGGGCATCTGAGTGACATTTCATTAACCCTGTAAAGTAGTGGTTCCCAAACTTATTTAGCCGCGCACCCCCTTCTATGTCCCGAGCATGTCGACGCACCCCCCCACATCAGGGCATGGCTATATATATATATATATATATATATATATATATATATATATATATATATATATATATATATATATATATATCAGACGTCAAGCTAAGCAGACAGGGTTAGAAAAATTATGATCGACCTTTTTCCCCATCACTTTCATTTTTTAAATGGTAATTAATAAACATTCGATACCATTACAATTTCCTTTGATTTAACTTTAAATAAATATTTAGAGTGCACAGGTAGCACACAAAAATGCAATTTAACAGTTTTCTTAAAGTAGGAACATTTAACCTGTGTGGCCAGAGCGCTCTCCTTCCTTCTGCTCTGCTTAAACCTGAGCTGGTCACCTACTTGTGCGTAATCAAATGTCTATAGGGGAAAAGATGAAAAAGCTATAGCCATGAGGTTCACTTTTGCCTCAGACCGACTTATTGCTGTTTTATGGTGTGGCTGAATCTGAGATCCGCTGCCACGCGGACTGGAACAACAAATGCTGCAGTAACATGAGTTGTGGTCAGGTTCATGAGGAGTCACTGGCTGGAGCGGACCCGACTTTCATACTTCATCCCAAAATAGAAGCTAATATCTTAATTTGACCTTGAATGAAAAATGTTGTTATAAAATCTCTTAAAAGTTTTTATCACGGAGGAGGCAGAGCTCATTTCTGCCTTCAGTCTGACGGCACGCCGGAGTTTGCGCAGCGTGCAAGCTTATTGAATCTGTGTGTGTGTGAGTTTGTGCGCGCGCACGTGCGGCACAGCTCCATGAAGCTTGGTTTATGCTTGACGCATTCACTTTCCGCTTGGTGATGCGGCTCGCCGATGGAACACGCTTCACAACTTGCAGCGTTTGTCACCGCGTCTCGTTATTGGCACTATTTAAACCATTGTTGTAAAATTACTTCTCCCAGCCCAGATGTGCTCACTTGTGCACCTTGCACTTGTGACCTCTGACAGACGCACTCTGAACTTCAGATCTTCAGCGTGCTGTTAATAGCCTGAATGGGAATCATTTCTTGATTTATTTAGTTACATCCACAATGTTCTGTGTGTGAGGTTTACAATGTCAGAACACCTGCATGAGACGGGGTGTTAATTACAATCTGCCAGAATGACTCACCACCTTCAGATTTCTCCAACATCGTTAAAAATGATGAAATACGGAACATATGCGCAGGCCAGAGTGCTGAAGCTCGGCGCATTGTTATTATGAAGTTAGGGCACATATGGAGGACACGCACATAAATATACTTGTTTTCAATTACATTTATTGTGCCCACTTACTTTTTCTTTGGCCCACCCACAAATGAGTTTCTGGGTACACTAATGGTGACATATGACAGACTTCTCTGAGCTCCGCAGCCATTGCACTTTTCACCTCGCGCACCCCCTAGCGACAGCTCGCGCACCCCCAGGGGTGCGTGCACCACACTTTGGGAATCCCTGCTGTAAAGGGTAATTTTAGCACATACTAGCTCAAGAAAATGATGAAAAAAAAATGAAGAAGCTGCAAAGTATCTAGAACAGCAGCTGAATAACAGTAAAATAATGTTGATGGTCTGAAAGAAATGGTAGGATATTTTCATGCAACTGATTTGATTTTTCAATTCATTAACTTTAAAACTGCACCCAGTGCTGATTTTACCCACCAGTTTTCCATCTGCACCTGACCTGCTGTTCTAGATACTTTGCAGCTTCTTCATATTTTTTTTCATCATTTTCTTGAGCCAGTATGTGCTAAAATTACCCTTTACAGCAGGGATTCCCAAAGTGTGGTGCATGCACACCCGGGGGTGCGCGAGCTGCCGCTAGGGGGTGCGCGAGGTGAAAAGTGCAATGGCTGCGGAGCTCAGAGAAGTCTAACAATGTTGATGGTCTGAAAGAAATGGTAGGATATTTTCATGCAACTGATTTGATTTTTCAATTCATTAACTTTAAAACTGCACCCAGTGCTGATTTTACCCACCAGTTTTCTATCTGCACCTGACCTGTTGAATGTCTTGTGAAAAACTCAAAGGAAGGATAATATCAGGTTGTTAAATCACGTCTCGGGCTTTAAAGGGATTTTGAAAACAAAGAAAAGTTGTTTTTGCATTATCTGCAGCCATCACAGCATCATTCTCATCCTGGGAGAAATATCATCATCGTGTAAGCCTTTTGTTTCTAAACAAACTAATAAGACCAATTTTTACCATCTACTTTTTTGCCTTTTGGTTGGTGTTCATGAACATTTAATGAACCTTCTGGAACCTGCAGACAGCATCAAGAACAGCACCTATCCACATTCAAAGTCAAAATAACTATCCTGAGACAGAAAGTATAAACTACTTTAGTCCTATTTTGTCTATAGCTTTGCATCCTTTTGACGTTTCTATCAGATGTTGCTCATTTAAACACTAATAACTTTTTTTTTGTGTTTTATGTCCAAATGAGATGTGTTGGCATTACATTGTCACAGCATTGGAGTGTAACAAATAGGCCAAAAAATCAGTTTAGCTCACTTTATAGTTTTTGTGTAATTTAATTTTATTATAACCGTTATTGCATTTGTGCACAAAAAAATGCACACACAATGCTTCCTAACATGATATTTAATAACTCCCAATTTATTTACATGCATTTCATCCTTGCCTTCAGCTTTAACAAAATATAATAAAATAATAGTGCATTCCTGAGATTTAACACTTTTATTCCCCCCTTTATTGCCAGGTATGTGATCAAAACCAGAAATGTACACAAATGAAAAGTCAATGACTCAAAATAAAGCACCAAGAATGTTAACGTTACAAAAGTGTTAAACCATTATATTGAATGTCGTACAGCAATTTTTCAAATTTTTATTTGGTAATTCCCCTAAAAAATAAATAAATAAATAAATAAATAATGGGCTGGATTTGATATAGCACCTTCTAGAGTCCTGGAACCCCTCAAGGCACTTTACAACACAATCAGTCATTGACCCATTCACACACTGGTGGGGATGAGCTACAATGTAGCCACAGCTGCCCTGGGGCGAGGCTGCCGAGCACTGGCGCCCCCGGTCCCTCCGACCACCACCACCCTCCCAATGAATTAGATAAACTGCTTAGCATAGCCAAAATGATTCACAAAAACACGCCTGTCGTGCAAAAATATGCACTAAGGACATTTAAGGCTTAAATCAAAACTGACATCATAACTTAAACAAACCACACCATTAATTTTAATGTAGGTTTTCTTTAACTCAATCTTTGTTGTGACTTACGGTATAACTTTAATGTCCTCTTTGCCATGAAGGATGTAGTCAATCACTTTGTAGAAAATTATTTCCTAGAAAATAGAAAATACAGAATACTCATTGAGACGTTGTTTCCCAGTGCTCCAAACTAGGCCACCTGTTCTGCTTTTTGATGGAAGATGGAACAGCAACAGACGTATTTTTGGAATGACTTCTTAAACACACAGAGCTGTGACAGAGGAAAACTTAAAGCAAGACCCAGTTATCCCAGCTGGTAAACACCCAGAACATCATATGAGTCCAACAGAAGGAAAGTTCCTCTGGTCACCTGTCCTTAAACTCTCCAGATTGAGAGATTTTCACTTGTCAGCATGGTTTCATAACCCAGAGAGGATTGATTTTAGCAGGTGTCACAAAAATCTGTGACCTACATTTTGACAACCCAGATGGTGGTGAAAAATGTAAGATGTGACACTGAGACGCAGAATACTGAAAACAGTTTAAACACAAAGCAGTGACATTCAGATGAAGAGGAAGCAATAGGAAAAGCAACAGTATTTATCACAGCTGAGGCTGGTATGTTCTCACCCTGCCATCAGGAGTCTTGGGTCCATCATAGGGAGGAACTTCTCCCATCAAAATGGGCCACATGTCAAAGAACTCCTACAAGGAAACACAATGAGGACAAAGAAGCTGACCCCTTTATATGTTATATATCTTGTATATTGCTGCAGACATATTCCTATGTTTTAATTGTTTTAAGATAGATTTACTCCAGATCTTAATCCACATTCAACATTCTAACTCTTGAAACCCATGAGAGGTGTGGATCCTCTGTGTTGTGGTTGTAGACAATGCAACATTTTCAAAACAGGCTCTTAAAGATGAACCACCATCTTGTTTGTTGTTTATTGTTAATGAACTCTAGCATAGTGTCACGTGTTTGTTCTCCTAAAGCAGGTGTTTTGACTCGACTGGCAGCAGCTTGTAATTAAGTGACAGCCACAGTCAATAAGTAGTATTCATCGTAATGGTAAAAAGAATCCACACAAGTACTGATCACACAAGGGTTTTACTGGTTATTTTCTATGAGCAAACTAGAGAAAGAAACCTCTAGTCTACGACAAATGGCAAAAAAAAAAAGGAGACAGGAATGAGAAAATAAACTGTTTATGGAATTGGAGGCTTGAACTTTCCAGCTGATCTTAAACTCTAGGTGTGGACCTCTGGAAACCTACCTTGGTTTTGGTCATGTCCAGCAGCCCTACAGAGTAACGGTCACAGTTGAGGAAAGCTCTGACTGTGTACAAGGCTTTGTGGAACTGCCTCTCTATGTCTGTCAGCTCTTCAAACACTTTGCTGGCAGACCACAACAACACCTGGACAAGAAAATACATGAAGTGGAGATATAAAAAACACTTTAAAGATTCATCAAACCAGCGTTTGAATAATCAAATCACAAATAAGCAGCTCCATCATTTTCATTATGTTTACATTTGAGGCTGTCTGGTCAGATTGGCAAAACCCTCTCCCAAATTATTTACAGTTTTAGAATAGAATAGAATAGTCCTTTCTTGTCCCTCGGTGGGGAAAACTTGATGTAACAGCAGCAGAAATTTGTCAAATTAACTAAATATAGAATAGAATGGAATAGAATAGAATTCAACTTTATTGTCATTGCACATATACAGGCACAGGGCAACGAAATGCAGTTTGCATCCATCCAGAAGTGCTTTAGCCGTGATATAGATGTAGAACAATATATATTAGTAATAATATAGATGTGTAAGTATATTACAGAAATGGATCTATTACGTATGTTATAATGTACACTGTATGAATTATTTTATGAGTATTCTATGACTATAAGTATGTACAGGCTGTAGTTAATACAAGCAGTCCATGAGTTTAACGTGGGTCATATGTCAGGAGGCAGAGTTCAGGAGTCTGACAGTTGTTGGGAAGAAACTGTTCCGGTACCTGGTGGTCTTAGTCCGGAGGCTCCTGTAGCGCCTCCCAGAGGGCAGCAGGGTGATCAGTGCATGTGATGGGTGACTGCGGTCTCTGATGATTTTCCCTGCCCTTTTCAGACACCGCTTCCTGTAGATGTCCGTTATGGCAGGAAGTGGTGCTCCGGCGATGCGCTGGGCAGTTTTCCCGACCCTCTGCAACGCCTTTCGGTCCGAGACGGAGCAGTTCCCATACCAGACTGTTATACAGTTGGTCAGGATGCTCTCGAAGTTCACCAGGATGTCTGAGGACAATTTGTTCTTCCTCAGAGTCCTCAAGAAGAAGAGGCACTGGTGAGCCTTCTTGACCAGCTTGGAGCAGTTGGTAGTCCAGGTGAGATCCTCGGAGATGTGGACTCCCAGCAACTTGAAGCTGCTCACACGCTCCACTGCCGTCCCATTAATGTGGATGGGTGGATTTGGGTCAGCATTCCTCCTGTAGTCCACGATGAGCTCCTTAGTCTTCTCAGTGTTAAGCAGCAGGTTATTTGTGTCGCACCACTCAGTCAGACGGTCCACCTCCACCCTGTAGGCGGTCTCATCGTTGTCACTGATGAGGCCAATCACCGTGGTGTCATCTGCAAAATTAATGATGGTGTTGGAACCATCAGCAGGTCTGCAGTCGTGGGTAAAAAGGGAGTAGAGGAAAGGGCTCATCACACAGCCTTGTGGTACACCAGTGTTCATTGTGATTGTTGATGAGCAGCGGTAACAGCAGCAGAAATTTGTCAAATTAACTAAATATAAACATTTGTTCTCTCTTATTTTCCACCTAAAGCTTAAGAAGTATGCACCTTAAAACATGCTGCTGTTTGAATTAAAGAACAATTGTTTTTCTGATCTTGAAAACTGAAATGAGTACAACTTGCACAGTCTCACACTATGTCCCTCTCTGTTGTGCTTCAGCACTTTCAGGCACACAGCTTAACACTGGGTTCTCTTTGCTCTAACTGGTTGTTTTACGTAGGCACTGTTTGTGAATTGCACCAGGACTAAGAGAAACTTGTCAGACTGTGTTTTCTTCTTCCCAAAATACTCTTCGCATTATGGGATACTGCCAAGTTTACAATATGATGATCAAATCAAATTTTATTTATTTAGCACGTTTCATGCAAAGCAAGCAACACAAAGTGCTTAACAGATTAAAATGACCCATATAACCCACATGCCCTCCCTTTCCCACATTTAAAACAATTATGACAGTTTCACCCCCAATCAACAAACCATTCTCAGGCACACACACACACACACACTTGTACACTTAACACATTAAAAGACCACACTAAACACTAGGCTGAGCTCAGATTGAACAAGTAATGAAAGACACGCCATCAAGGGAGCCATCTGCCTCGACAGCAGCAGATCTACGGCAGCAGCCAAGAAACCAATCCAGGGCACCCTGGGAGGGAGGGTGGCAACCCCCACCACTACCTGGGCACTACCCAAGGAGCGCCCTAGCCACCGCCACCGACAACCGGTCCCGAGGCAGAGGGCTCCACAGAGGAAACACTGGAAGGATTAAAATATGTAATATATAAAATCACAAGAGCTAATAAGGATAGTAAAATATCCAATAAAATGTCATTATATAAATAAAACAACATAAATGTGTAACCCAACAGTAATTAAAATAAATTAATAAGTAAAACAAGCAATAAATAGTTATCAGCTAAAAGGTAAACTAAAAAGGTGGGTCTTGAGCATGTTCTTAAAAACGTGAACATTCTTTAGAGACATCCACAGAAGAGTTACTGAGCAAATGAACTCTCTGAGGAGAAGATGGCGCTGGTGTGTGTGGCACACCGACTGCCTCACGGACACTCTCCTCTGTATATGTTTATTCTTTTTTTGGTTCTTGCGCATGGTGTGGACAGTGCATCCCTATTGCTGACTTATGATCGAGCAATGCTTCTGGAACTCCGGCCTGATGTCGGTTTCATCAGCCCGGTGATTGTGACGAGGCGGGGGGATTTTAGTCCCCCACGCTCATTTCGGAGCCTCTCGGTGCCACCCGTCCCTCCGCGGTGTGCATCCGGTCGTCATCAGTGGAGGAGGCGCCACCAGCATCGTGGCTGTCGAGGTGGGAAACATGTGCGCCTACGTGCCAAACCTCCCCGGTCCTGGAAGGAGCTTGCCAGGCTGTGTGGGTCTGGACGTCTTCTCGTGGCGCTGTCGCGTTTGTTGGATCCTCCGCCATCCTGCTTGATGCCACTGGCGGGCTTCGACTTGGATGCTTCGTCGCAACGTGTATTCTGGGGGTTTTGCTACCGCTGGAAGGGTGCCAACCTTGCAAATCTGCGTCATGTGGACTCATGTGGGATGTCAACTGCGCCTGTGTCTCTAGATTCTGCTGCTACTGGACTAAAGACGTTATCATCAGCTCGCCTCGGCCTGGTTAATGCAAGGTCGGTAATGAACAAAACTTTTATTCTGAAAGACTTCTTTGAGGAACAAGGGCTCGATTTTTTGGGTGTTTGTGAAACCTGGATGCCGATGAGAGACACAGTGCCCTGTTGGAATTATTACCTGCAGACTGTAGTTGTTTTAATGTGCCAAGAACTTCGGGCAGGGCCGGGGGACTCTTCATTGTTTATAAATGAGGTTTCAGCTGTAAACAGATTATCCCTTTTTCTAGTTTTGAGGTTTGCTCTTTTGAACTTGGACCTTTTCCTCAAGTTTTTGTGGCGTTGGTTTATCTCCCGCCTGGACTGAATGCGGAAATTCTAAAAGACTTTGCTGATTTCTTGGCTATGAATGTGTTGAAATATGATCAGATTTTTATTGTAGGAGATTTTAACATCCATATTTGTTGCCCTGATAAGCCGATGGTCGAGGACTTTTTGCACCTGTTAAGTTCACTGAATATTTCTCAGTGGGTTAAGGGTCCTACACATGTGAAGGGGCACACTCTTGACCGGGTTCTTTCCTCTGGTCTTCAGTCCATTAATGTGGACACGCTCAGACCACTCTCCGATTTTATGTAATTTTAGTGTTCCGTCTCGGCAGGTCCCAGCTTCTCTTCCTGAGAGGTGCAGTCATGCCATAAATCCTGCTAAGGTGGCGAGATTCAGTGAGTGCTTTGGTCTAGCAGGACAGGATATTCTCTTAGCCCACCTCCCTGTTGAAGAGTTTATTACTCGTTTTGACACGCTATGCACATCTGTTTTGGATGATGTTGCTCCATTTAAGATTAGGAAAGGAGGGCATAGGGCAGAGCCGTGGATGTCTGATGAGACCCAGGCCTCCAGGCAGGCCTGCAGGAGAGCTGAGCGAAAGTGGAAGCAAGATAAACTTCACGTGTCCTATGAAATTTATAAAAAGTCACTTTTTGATTACCAGGAAGTGGTGCGACAGGCTAGGATCAGATACTATGCCAACATTGTGGAATCAAATTCTCATGACCCATGCACTCTTTTTAAGGTAATTGATTCAGTACTGGGAACTGCAACTTCTGCCTCCAGGTCCACGGCTGCGATGGCAAGGACATGTGAAGATTTTCCTCACTACTTTGTGGACAAGATAGCGATGATTCGGGCTGCTATTGTAAGCCGCACTCCTGTTTTTGTGGAGCCTATGCCACTTAGGGCAAACCTGCCAGCCTTCCAGACTATATCTATGACAGAGCTAGAGGAACTCATTTCTAGGCAAAAACCTTCTGGTTCCTCTTATGATGCTCTTCCCCCAAGGATGCTTAAGGAGACTTTTTCTGTTCTGGCCCCTTATATACTGTTTATCTTAAATACCAGTCTGGCCTCTTGTGTGGTTCCCCTTACCTTTAAGAGGGCTGTTGTACGACCACTGCTGAAAAAGAAGGGGATGGAGGAGGCTGTGCTGGCCAATTACAGACCAATCTCACATCTACCTTACTTATCTAAGCTGCTTGAGAGGGTTGTATATTTAAAACTGGTTGGATTTTTAGACACTAACGAACTCTGGGAGATCTTTCAGTCAGGGTTCAGAGCAGGTCACAGTACAGAGACTGCACTTTTAATGGTTCTTAATGATGTTTTTTTAGCTTGTGACGGGGGGGGGGGGGGGGGGGGGTGCTGTCATTCTTTTATGTTAGATTTGTCTGCGGCCTTTGACACGGTCGATCATGACATACTTTTGGATCGGCAACAACATTGGGCCGGAATTACTGGTGCAGCCCTACAATGGCTACACTCCTACTTATCCAACAGGAGTTTTTGTGCCAGTGTAGGTGAAACCTCCTCGACCTGGGCGGGACTCAAGTGGGGTGTGCCACAGGGGTCTGTACTGGGTCCGCTTCTTTTTGCCATCTAATTACTACCATTGGGGAATCTTCTTTGGCGGTTCGGCATGCGTTTTCATTTTTATGCTGACGACTGTCAGATCTACCTCCCCCTTCA